CCCAAAAGAATCTAATAACTCTACAAAATAGCATTCAATAATAATGTTGAACTCAAAAATATTTATTAATCCCTTTCCCACTGTACGCCGGTATAGATACATAATAAAACTTATATCGAGGGCATAACATATGTATCTCAAATACTTCTTTTCGTGCTTTTATGAGCCTTGGAACTGCTAGAAATAGGTCACGTTCAGATGTTTCTTGTTGAAAAAAGTACACAGAAAGATGTGTGACTAAGTTGGAAAAGCGCATGATGGGAAAGCTTTACTGGTGTCACGCGATGACTCTTAACCCATTCCTAGTCCTAGTTGCAGAGACAGATTGAAATCTTTGGCATATCACGTTTCGCAATCCGTCATTATTTAACCGAAAGGTATGACTTGTAGAACATTCATTTTTTGTTAAAGAAATGCATTACCAGTGTCTGAAAAAGTCGTCTGAGTTGGGTGTGGTTAAGCGTCTTGTCGGGAAAGCCACGAAGAGTATTTTGCATATGGTGTTATAAATAATAAAAGAAAATAAATAAAAAGATCTTACGTCAAATAAAAAGATCTTACGTCATTTAATGAGACAGGAATAATTATCATTCTAACACATTCTTTCTTGACAGAATGTTCTAGGTAAAGAGTTTGCTGTTTGTTAAATTTTTGGTTCCCTTTTTCTTCCAGAAATGAATATCTAGATTTACTATGGAACAATTCGATTTTCGCTTTGGATTATAATTATATGCACCATTTTATTTTAACATCGAAATGAATAGATTCACATTCATATCTCTAGTATTTAGGTTCAGTAAAAAAGTCGTAATAATTACAACTTTCAAAAAGTACTGAGAAATGATTATTAGATTGTAAATTAAGACGGAAATGTCTAAATGTGAGTCTCAAAACTTTCACAGAGTTAAGCTGAAGAGTTCACAGAGCTGAATTCGTGATCCTAAGAATTTTATGAATTCTAAATACTACTATCTTCGAATTTCATTTAATTTTATCTAATATAAGATAGATAACATTTGAAATATTACATATTTTGCTTTTTGTCAAAAGAAAATTATATCTGAAAAAAACATTTAATAAAAACTGAATGAAATAAAGAGAGCCCTCGTTTGTGCGACAACCTGTGGAAACTAACAGTATTCCCCCTCCCCTGAGAGCATAAATTGATATCGATATTGAACAACTCCTCCTTAGAGTTATCTTCTCCGCAGATGACCAAAATAATCAGCAATTTTTGGTGGTATCTTAAAGCGAGTTCATTGCATTAAAGAGCTACGTTTTATAGTTTCTGTGAGGAGAAGTAATTTTTATTAAGTTGAATTATTCAATTTCTATTTCTTAAGTAACGTAGAAGGCCATTATATCATTTTTAAATTCCTCTATCACTAGGCAAATTTAAATGAAAGGAAAAAAAGAATAAAATGAAATCAAACTATTGAATATGCTATTTACATTCATTGGCAATTACGATTTTCTGAAAATTAACTGCTAAAGGCTAATCAATATTTTGCCAATATATCGATAAAATGATTTTTAAATGTTCACGTTGTAAGGGAATCGATTTCGACAGATATGATTGAAGTTGAAATGGTGAAGCTTATAAGCGTTGCATAACCGCAGATCAGAACTAAGATTTGAATATCAGAACTAAGAATCTGGCATGTGATTTATATAAATAAAGCGCCAAAGATTTTATTTGTTGCCATGAACTTATATATTCTTTTGCCGATAGCAAATGCCCCGATGAATGCTGCAAAGTTCTTCCTAAAACTCTAATGACCGATCGCATTTTAATTAAAAGTTTCTTTTATAATAAAACTTTCATTAAATGCGATAAAAATTTCTTTTTATCAAGTACGCTAATAAAAACTTTCATTGTTTGTTTGTAACAAAGCTGACATTTTAAATTAAAACATGGAATCATCGTTTATATCTGTAGTTTTGTAACAGCAAATACTTATTTTATTCCAAAAAAGAGCCATGAAAAGATTTCAAATCAGAATTCTGCTGCAAATCGCATTTTATGAACATTATTTTTAGAACTATATAACATTTAATTTTAGAAAGATAATTTTTATCGAAATCAGTTTTCTTTCGCTGTCTTACTTGTGAATATTGGAACTAAGCAAATTTTATTTCTTACGTATTTCATAGGTACAAATTCTTGTTTAACCTTAGGGAAGATTTACAGGAACTTTTAGCGCCAGAAATAAGTTACAATTTATTCCTTCGTTCAACTTCATTTTTGGCGGCCGAGCGGTAAAGTCGCTGAACACTGGTAGTTCGGTCCGAGGTTCGAATCCAGCGAAGGGGCTGGCTGCATGGGCGTTTTCGTGGTTTTCTCCATGTGTAACGTGTATACGAGCCAGTTTCCCTTAGAAAGTCCTCCACGAAAGGCATCCCTCCCCTTAGGCAGATAGCCCTAGTGTGCTTTGCCATAATTAAATACACCAACACCAACAACTTCATTTTTGAGTTTGGCTACTAAAACGTTTTAGAAATTTGAAGTACTGCAGAATAAGAACAGGTATAAAATTATAATACATGAAATATTTCAGAGCTCCTTTAGCTTGTTTTTAACTAATGCATATAGAGAAACATATGTGTATATTTAAGTAAAGTTCATGCATTTGTTACTCAGTTTTGATATTGATTTATTATTATACTTCTAATAATAAATCAATGCGAGGCTAGTAATTACAATAATGAGTACTTGCTCCTTATGTATATTTAAATACCTGCTTAAATAAATTTTAGTTAGTAATGATAAATTTAGCAACTAAATCGTAGTACAAAAAATATGGCACTATAAATCAATAACATTCATAGATAGTAATGTTTTCTTAAATTAATAATTCGTTACATACACACACACACACACATATATATATATATGTATATATAATAAAGTTATTAACATTAATATTTGTTTAAATTAAAATTTATTTAAATAAAATTCAATTAATAATGGCTCATTATATGAATCATATCACCAATGAAATAGGGCACCACAAACTAATTTTACTTACAGCCATCGATATTCCTTTAAAAAAGAATAAATAATACTGCAAATAATTTAACTAAATTAAGAAATAATTTTAAGTTTTTATAATTAATAACGATAAACGAAGTAAATCGTAATTCAAATGTTTTATGGCACTACCTATCAAATAAAACTTGTGAATCATAGTGCGAATACTTTAATTAAATTATTTGCATTGCGATTTAATCAGCACGCTAAGTAAAGTCGAATACAAATAGGCAACCAAAATTTGCATAAAACGCAATCCCGAAGTCATACCACAAAGCCTTAAAACGCTCCATGCCGGATTTCTGAGACCAGCAATAGTGCCGAGACAGTAAAAGCGGAACGCATGAGCCGAAGACACCATGAAATGCGTTGGAATGCTGTCGGAATGTTGCAAGGTAGTGCAAGACAATCCGCTGTTGGAAGAAAGCTGAATGTGCATCGTAGTGTCGTCAATAGAATCGTTGATCGTTATCGTAAAGGGATCAAAACCTTTGTAGAAGATGTGGGGCTGGATACCGGAGGATTGCTACAACGGCAGACGATCGTTTCCTGTTGTTTTGTGCGAGACACGACAGATAACTAACAGCACGAGAGCTGGCATCACATCTCTCTGCTGCTGCAGGACTGTCCATATCTCGCCAAATGTGTCGCATCGACTGCATGAAGGTGGACTGTACGCCCGACGACATGTGGTTTGTGTTCCTTTATGCCCATCGCATGACACAGTGCGCTTGAATTAAGACCGTGAAACTCGCATTTGGATACCAGAGCTGTGGGGCCACGTACTCTTTACGATTGAGTCTCAATTTAGTATCCAGGACGATTCCGGAAGAGCAATGATATGGCGAGAGCCAGGGACACGCTATCAGGCGCCAGACACCTTCAAAGAAACCACTACTAAGGAGGATGCCTACGGCTGTGATAGCAACAAAACGGCCACACCGATCTTTACATGGTTCCTGGTGGCTCCAATAAGCAGTACGATATCACGACAAAATTACATCTACTTTTGCGTCATTTTATCGCTGCAATAGATACCAACGCTATATTTATGGACTATAACGCCAGCCCGCATAGATGTCGAATGATGCGAAGTTATTTGGAGAGTGGAACCATTTCACATCTGCCGTGGCCTTCTAGATAACCGGACCTGAACCCCACAGAGCATATGTGGAACATGTTGGAACGACAGATAGTAGGTCGCAATGTATGGCAAGGTACCTGCTGTGCTCCGTCATGCATCACTACAGGAATGGGCGCTACTCCCCCAACAAGAGATCAAAGACATTATTGCCAGCTTGCCTCGCCGTTGTCAAGCATGCATTTCAGCTAGAGAGTATACCCGTTATTAAAGTGATATTGTCATTGCACATTCTTCAGTTCCATTAGGTATTTCCCGATATGGTAGTTGTAATATGCGTGTTTTTGTATGACTTTGCTTTATTGTTTGCTTGTAGTCTAGTAATGCTACACCAACCTCTCTGATCAATTTCACGCATGTTTCATAAATAGATTTTATTTTATTCTGTGTTCTGCCTTTGTTTCTTATTCTTTGAGCAGGAGTATATGTTAAATAGTATATAATTATAAAGTAATTTTAATAAGTAATATTTAATTTAATGTAGAATAATTTGAATGTAATTTATTAAATATTATTACTAAATTGTATTTCAAAATCTATTTGCATTTAAGCCGTTCCTGAACTTCTGAATGCAACGGCATGTATCAAACGTGTGCTAAATAAATGAAGTTCAAAAAGGCATCATTAAAAACATTGTTACAAAAAAAAATCTTTATGCAAATGCTTATGTGTCACGCAAAATGCTTCACTTCTTGTCTGTCAGTACTCTACAAATATTAAAAAAGAAAAAAAAAAAAGAAAGAAAAGAGAGTTGAGGATTATCGTTCTTCTAAATCTTTGTTTATCTTTGGAATGCAATTAATAGAAGCGCACACACCCAGTACTTACTTCAGAAAGGGAATAACACTTCGTGCAGGAGTTAGAAAACCATGAATTTCAATAGATTCTTCTTTTTATCAAGTCATGTGACAATCTGGTCCGTATACCAGAATTACCAGACTGGATTCGAACTGGACATCTGAAACTGAAAATTACATTTTAGAACCTGGAGTCAGAGAAAAACATTTATAAAAAAAAATCTAGAAACCTTGCAATTTTTTTTTTTTTTTTTTCCATAGAAATCAATAGCTCAAAGCAGCGTTAGCCCAGAAAGCTATTAGTCTCGAAATGAGATTTTGCGTTGAATCACTATAAAAGTCTGAACCAGTTTTCAGATTATTGCCACCAAATATTATCGCCCAGTATTATATTTAAAGAACTAAATAAAAAGAAAATCTGAAAGCTTCAGATTTTATATTACGCCTAAAGTTTTTTTTTAACATTTTATGTGTTACCTTTATTTTTTAAATATCATGTTCATCGCACTTAAACTACGTAAAATTCAATTCAGTAGCAATACCAAAAAATATTTAAAAATAAAAATATTTTTAGAATTTCCGATAGATAGTGTCGCGAGCTGGAGATAAGAATGTCTTTTTCCATGCAGTGTTCTCATTGATCGCTTTGAAATCGTTCAGTTTGTTAACCAGAAATTAGTTAAAGTTTTACAAAATATGAAATAGGTAATGCAACAAATTCAAAATTCGGGCTTCTAAGTGCGCACATTCGGGTGGAGGATTATGTTATTCAGAATTTGATGGCTCTGCCTACCGTCGTTTTCTCAACAATGCGAGAAACATATATAGAGTGATGTAGATTTAATTTTTTTTAAACTTGATACAGGGCAGTAATATTTAGTGGCAACAATCTGAAAAGTGGTTCAGCCGTTTATAATGATTCAACGCAAAATTCTGTTTCGAGACTTCACTCCTTTGAACTAATAATGAAGAATTTGCATGAATGTATGTTTGTATTTCGCACTGTGAAAAAACAACGGTACCTAGAGCGATCAAATTTTGAATAACGTAGTCTTCCACCCGAATATGGACATCTGGAAGCCTCGCTAAAATGGACAAATAGCGATCTTCTCTGGACGTCGTGGCTCTT